AAGTTATCTTCCACTCAGTGGTTCACTCCTCCAAGTGGCCACAACACCCAGGACTGAGCCAGGCTGAATCCAAGACCCAGAAGCTTCATCTGATCTCCCACATGGATGGGAGTGGCTTAGTCACTTGGGGCATTTTCTGCTGCCTTCCCAGGTGCATTAGCAGGGAACTGGATGGGAAGTTGGGACATGAACCAGTATCCTTATGAGATGGCGGTATCATAGTAATTGCCCCAAACTGCTATGCCACAATGCAGGTCCCGGGTCTCTCATCTGCAAACTTCAGTCCTGCCCACAACCGGCAGGTCCATCAGCTAGCAGCAAAGACCATCAACGCGGTGTCACCTAGTACACTCAAATGAATCTGGGAGGTCCTAGCTGCCGCCAATTAGGGAGGAGCCTGAGAAACCACTCTTTGGGACTTTGCCCCCATCTTCCACTAACTAAAGATTCCCAACATCCTCTTGGGAGTTTCCTACCAGAAAGCTGAATTGTAAGTGAAGCAGCAGGGAAATGAACTGGTACCCATATGGTATGGCAGTGTCACAGGCAGCTGCTTCACCAGCTACACCAGAGTGCTGGCCTCTAACCAGAATCTTAACTGCTAGGTGAAACATTTGTTTCTGCTAGAAGCCATCAGGCACACAAGTATTTGTCGAATCAGAACCTCCCTCTACTGTGCATATGGGATTCCCAACAAGAGCCAATCACACTGGTATGTTTGGTGCATGCTAGGAACTCATCAGTGAGTGAATGCACAACCACACATGTGCTCTCAAGAGTCCCATGACCCAAGTGACCAATTTCTGCCCCAATTTCTGCCCCATTTACCTTCTGCTTTGCAGTAAGCTCTAGCTGTGGTTATAGAACCTGAGCTAATCGAAGGTGAGGGTGGTGTCATTAGTTTATTTCACATTCTCTGTGGCATGTCTACACTGCAAAGCATGAGCTATATTTTTGCTAAGTGTGTTTGCCGAAACAAGATTGCAATTGTTTGCTATTTAATAGTAAAAAAGCTGTTTTGACCTCAAGGGATATTAATATCATCTTCAAAATCTACTGGCTGTTTTTTACATTGACCAAACTATAAATACTACTTAATCTTTAGGGATGAGCAGAAACTAACAATAAATTCATTATATGTATGCTTTTCTCATCCAATGAAATTAATTGCTAGTCCTGCCATATCTAAAAAATGACTACTTTCAATTCATCTTAAGAAAGTAAGGAATGGATATGCTTTACCCAAGCATTTACAAATACAAAATACATCTATTCCTAAGAGTCTTATCACTGAATTTTTGTTTGTTTGTTTTTGGCGGGGGAGGGAAAGAGTGATGTTGATGCATTAGAGTTGTTGACTGATTCGGACACTTTACTGCCAGCCTGTTTTCTCAGAGAACATTCTTTGCATACACTTTGGCAACATTCTACCAACACATATGTGCACCACGTGGAAGAAATGCATGCGTGTCCTGAGAGCTGGCACACCGTACATGCTATTTAAACAGAACTTTGATCTCTAATCAAAGGGTTTCTCTTATGTGACCCTTACAAACAAATGGTCCCCCCACCCCTAACCTGGTGACCAGAACCAAGCCGTTTAGTACAGAGCCAGTATATTGTGCAGCTCTTTATTCCCTTCAAGAAAATTCCACAAATGTTGATTTACTAATTTACTCTAATGAAAAGCTGTGGGCAGTCTCAAGTCTGAGTAAGCGTTAGAAAGGCTCTCTAGACTTACAATAGTTTTTGATGTTTGCCTGGAATGGGACTATAAATAGAGTACTTAAGACACTTCTGTTAGGCCACTGTCAAGGTATAGCATTTTTGCAAATCAAGGTTTTAGAACTAAAATGATTCCAAACAGTGTGTTCTCTTCCCAGTCAATGTGGAATAAGACGAATTGAACTTACCCTTCTTTTTGAGATAACAAAAAATGCAGAGACAAGAGACTAGAGATGAATGAAGGACAGTGAGGCTGGAGGAAAACACGGGAAGAAAAAACTTTCTAATGACAGAATGTCAGAGAGACAATATGATCATGAGGCTCCACAAAGCTACCACCAGTCACTTAAACAACTCCAGCTCTTCCAAACAGTACTACTAAGAGAATGAGAAGATCAGCCACGCACGGAGGAACGTATTTGCAAATTTTACTTATCACCCATCTGACAAAGAATCTGTACATAAAATATAAAAAGACCTCTCAAACTCAGTAAGCAGACAGTAATTCAATGTTTTCAAAAATGAGCAAGGGAGTTGCAGAGACACGTAAGCAAAGAAAACAAGATGGTAAAGGAGCACGTGATGAAAGGTTCGACATCATTAATCATCAGGGAAATGCAGATTACAAGTCATAGTGGGACAGCACCCCCACAGCTAGTAGAGTGGCTAAAACTATAATGTCTCACCGTGGCAGGTGTTAGCCAAGATGTGGAGCCATTGGACCTTTCGTGTACTTGCTGTGGGAATGCACCATTGCAAACTACTTTGGAAAACAGCTTGTCAGTTTCTAAAAAATATATATACCCATATATAATGGGCCTGGCACGGTGGCGCAAGTGGTTAAGGTCCTCGCCTTGCACGCCCGGGATCCCATATGGGCGCCGGTTCTATCCCGGCAGCCCCGCTTCCCTTCCAGCTCCCTGCCTGTGGCCCCGGAAAGCAGTCGAGGACGGCCCAAAGCTTTGGGACCCTGCACCCGCCTGGGAGACCCGGAAGAGGCTCCTGGCTTCGGATCGGCATAGCATCGGCCGTTGCGCTCACTTGGGGAGTGAATCATCGGACGGAAGATCTTCCTCTCTGTCTCTCCTCTCTGTATATCGCCTTTCCAATAAAAATAATAATAATAAAAAAATATATATATATATGTACACCCATATATTGTACTACTGTTTTCATCCAAACAAAGAGAAAGTATATATCTATGTAGAGAATTGGATGCATATTTCCAGCACAGTTTTATTTAATAATTGTTCCCATGCTGGGAAATAACCCTAACACCCAACAACAGGTATAACCAAGGTGTGAAATGGGCTACAACTGAATAGGAAAAAAAAAAAAACGAGCCCTTTATAGACCTCTCGAAACTAAGTGCTTCATTATTACAATTACACAGCATGCTAGCAAAGGTACACTAATTTGTATTGACAGAAGACAAAAATGTTTTGTTTTTGTTTATTGGAGAGCAGCATATTGGAAGAAAGATTTACAAAGGCAGGAAAAACTTTTAGGGTGACAGGTATCTTTGGTATACTAATCGTGGTGATAGTTTTTATCTATGTATGTGTCTTAAAACTTGTCACACTGCACATTTAATTTATTCAATTTAGTGCAAATTAATTACATCTTAATTTCTGCTCCCCAAACCCTAATATACTAATTTGTTCTGGGAAATTGTATAGAAAATCATTCATGATAACAACTACTTGACAGGTTTCCAAAAAACAGCAGAGGGAGTTCTGACACATGGAGCACTGGGTGCCTGCGTTCCCTGTGTATGCAAAAGCTGAAGGATACCTTGCCATTTGTTGCTGGTCTCACTGCTTGGAAATTTCTTCAGAGTGTGTTATCTGTTACCATGTTTTGTGATGGCAGTTACACATGTACTAATACCGATTTGTATTTTGCTTGCCTGTTCAAGTAAGGAAATCCATTATGAAGGTTACAGGACCCCCATCTGAATCTGTACTAGAAGGCCGTGCAATGAAACCGACAGAATGAAGTCAGCCTGCTGTGTGTGCGTCCTTAGCTAGCTGTGTGTGCGTCCTTAGCTAGCTCACTAGGAGCTTTAGCAGAGGATGTGTGGGAAGGGCTAACTCTAGCTGCCTGTATTTTCTTTCGTAAGAGTCACAAGGAGCATCATTTGCTGTTTTCCTTGAATTCTCACCTTGCCAGCACCTTTACTTCTAAGATTTTTCACTAAACTTCCCTCTCTGCAGCATTATTATGTAACAAAACTATTTACTATGAATTCACCTTGCAGAGATTCTACTCATAACATGAAAGGTTCCAGGAAAGCAAGGACTGGGGATACACACAGAGTCTCAGTTTAAAACACCATGGAGTCATTTCTTTTAGTCAATCATCTATAAGCATTGTTAGCATCTCAGGGAGATCACATTCACCGATATAAATGATCTAAGGGAGGGACCATGACATCATAGTAACACTATGAAAATATTGTTCATCAAGTCTGCCAACACTTCCCTTAAGGATAGGAAAAATATCTGAAGAAGAATTTATTAACCAAAATATATAGGCTGAACTAAGGCAATAAATTTTCCAGAAGAAAGTAAGGACATAGCACAAATACGAAAAATGAAATACGAAGAACTCCATACAAGATTCTTGGAGCCAGAATTGGAAAAGCTGCCTGCAAAGTGAATCAAGCAGCAAATCTTAAGTGACAGATAAAACAATCAAATCACTATTTTGTAGAAACTGCTAGCAAACACCTTGTAGATCTTTACTTGATTAAATTAGAGACCAGCTCACTGTCTGCTCCCCGTATTTACATAAGACAAGGAAGGTGACTCCACTGAAGAATAATGAATATAGGCTTCAAAATCTGGCAAGGGTTGAGATGATCCACGCTGGCCCTGAACCACTAATAATGTTTTTGAAAGATTGAGTTATTAGATTAACAGCTGCAGAAGATGAACACTATTTATGCAATGTTAGAGCAAACATTTTCATAAAGCAAACGTTTCCTAAATTGCAAACAAAAATGTGAAACTCAATCTGACACCTGTAGCAGATTACGAGGGCTTTCCTTGGTCCAAGGCACAGAGCTATCCCTGGCACTGTAAATGAGATTTGGTCCAAAGGCTAGCAAAAGAAAATTTGCCTTCTTCAGCTTTTTAACTTTTGCTATTTCCCATGGATACGTTCCTTCTAAAGTCCTGGAAACTCTCAGCTCTTGCCTTTAATTTTTTTTTCAGTAACAGATATAAGACTGTTGTCCCTACACGGAACAAGAACCCCAGGGGTCTACTCACATCATGCATGGAGTCCAGCAGCTTGGTGAGTTGGTAGAACCTCTGCCAGCTCTGCCCAGAGTTGTTGGGGCATTTAGTTACCATCTTCCTCAGCTCCTTGATGTAGTTTGCCCTCATTTCTTCAAATGCAGACTGGCATTTGAGGCCATCCTTTGGAACTGCGTTGAGAAATACAGATATATGAACACTAAGGCTGTAAAAACAGTTTTAGCATCTTCTCAGGTGGGGTGGCCTAGAATATTTGCCCGTCTATTTACTGATGGTGAGGTTGGATGCCAAATCTCACTGAATCACAATTATAAATAAAGATGGGAGCTACCAACTCATACTTATTCAAGCATGTGCATGTGCGCACACACACACATATAAAAGAGTAACTGTTATTTATCTCAAGTGGATCATTATGCACATTGGACTGTGAATCCTTTCCCACTGTATAATGACAGAACCGTTAGATTAGTGTTATTCGACAGATGAGGAAACTGAATACCGGATGTTGAGAATCTGTCCAAGCAAACAGTACATACATAGCAGGGAGAGTAAAAGCCAAGATCTGATTCCAAAGTTGCCTCCAAACCTCAGCACCACAGTGTCTGATGACCTGTCATTGCAGTGTTTGACCACTACCACCTTGTCACTACTCCCGAGATACAAACATGTGTTTTGATGTTTCATGACAACCAGAGGAGCCACAATCTACATTGGTTTAGAGTTAGAGAGCATCATGCTCATGGTCCAGTTCAAATATCAAATGCATTCTGGGAAACTGGCTTTCCAGGGGAGGATGGTGCACCCTCCTCTATCTCGGGGCATTTGGAGCTTTCTCTCTCTCCAACAGCATCAATCACTGAACACTTCTGAAAATGAAAGACTTTGCAACTGGGGTCTCAAGCCTGTAGAACACTGATGTGTCCTGCTGAGGACCTGGCCCAGGATTTCTGTGAATGCGCTTTATCGAGAAAAGGTGCATCCACATCCAGAAGTGGCGTGGGCAGAACTAAGGATAAAGACAATCCTTTGAAAACCTTACCTCTATTTTTCACTATGGGCAATAAGTAATTAGGCTTGTGCTTTAATGCTGGATAATAAAATCACCTAGGAACTTCAGCTTTTCAAGAGACAAAGACCTAATGAACACTCAACTTGCGCTATCAACATTCTGAATTTAAAGCATCTTCTTAATTGCACGTATTTACCAGCCTTTCCTAATTGGTATAAATAATAATATATTTTGGTCATCAGCACTTAAGAATGGATAAAGTATATTTCTGAATATTATGTGCAACCCTGGGAACCAGCATGCTACAATTACTAAATAAATCCTGTTATTCCATAGGAAGATGTGAACTATCTTGCAAACTAACTTCCATTATGTTAATAATCGACTTGAGTGGAACTGATAAGGGTTTTGATTTGTGGCTTGTTTAAATTTATGTTTATGGGGAGAAAAAAAAGTCCCTAGTAGAAACTGCATAAATTCCTGAAGCTTCCACACCATTAGCTGTGGTTTTAAATATCTGACATTTTTATTAGGAGTAAAGATACTTTATTATATAGAACATAAGAGATTTTACCTTAAAATGAAAGGCTTGTTTTGAAAGTATGAAAATTAAAGAAGAATGGAAGTAATTCAGATGTTACATCCCAAAACCACAGGTACACTTTCTATCAAAATTTACCATTTACTTAGAACATTGAAATGGAAACAAAGTTTACAAATCTCAGCCTACACTGCTGCCAATCTATAGAATGACATTTTTTTAAAAATCAGACTGACATTTTTTAAAGTTACACAATCATTTATCTGATTTTGTTTCTTTCCAATATAGATACTTACATGGATGCTATCCTAAACACTGAATAAGTACCTAACATTAAAATACAGTGAATGTATTTCGAGGTGTATTTCAATACCCCTAAGATTAATGAGAAACTTTCACATTCCTGATAGCTGTTATCAAAAATTCTCAAGATTCTAACAACTTGCACCAAATATTACAACCTATATTTTTTTGCTGTAACTGAAATATGCTTTACTAGTTTCCTAGCCAGATTTTTTAGAAGTTGAAACAAACGCACAAATAAAGGGAATTTAAGCAAAACCTTCAATTTTGGAGGTCTGCCCAGAATTTCTGCATTTACTTATTAAATGCAGCAGGGCTGTTGGAAATCATCCAATATCTACGCACTGGAGAAGGGCAAAAAGACAATGGAGACAAAAGTCTGTTTCCCTCTGAGAGCATCAAGAACACAGCATACTTTCGAGGTCACGGTTATAAACTGAGTACGCTGGACATCAGCTGGGCCATTTAACAGTCCTGAGTAAGACGGACATGTTTCATGCATTGGATCATCAATGAACAAAACAAGCTAACGAAAGGCTGCAGTTTCTGTGATTCATACAACTTTTTATTTATGCTTTTCTATCTTTAAATTTTGCTTTTCCTGCATCCAGGAAAAAACAAGAACGGAAGGTCCTGAGCTACCTAGTGCTAATATGTATTTCAGTCATTTTAGAGTGATAGCAGAATCTATGATGGGCTGAATTCCTAGCACATGTATGTATGTATGTATAGGTGTGTGTGTGTGTATGTATGTATATATTAGGAGAAGATATTTCATTTAAAAGCTGTCCTGTATCTATTTTTTTCTTATTTATTATTATATTTTTACCAGCAGTGGTTAACACTGGGAAATGAGAATAAAATCCCTTTGAACTGACAGATGGTACTCCCAAACTTCTATTCTAAGGAGGGTAACTTAGAACCTCAGCTACCTTGAAGGGGAGAACAGCGGGGAGGAAGCAGCCTGATTCTGCTAACCCTGCAGGTAAGAGCTGGGCTGAGTGTAATTAGTGAGGGATGCTGAGGCTTGTGGCAAACCATAGGCCATGTCCTGCCCTGGGCATTCAAATTCAATGAACACAGAACAAAAGACAAAAGCAAACCCCCTCCCACCAACCTGTGTGGGCCAACTAAAACACAGCTGTGACCTGCTAGGCCTGCCTCTCTGGCCCCACCCTGGGTTCTGTCTGCTCCCTGCTGGGCCTCCCTGCTGCTCTCCTGCACCCTCTCTGCTCCTGGGAGAAGTCCCACACCCTCAGGTTGAGGCTCAACTTCACAGAGGATTCTTGCTCAAGAGGCACTTGGGTGCCTCTGTTTCATCAGCTCTAGAATGGGGCTGCCAGCTTCTTAGGACTATCGAAAGTACTCAATTAAACCAGATTGATTCACATACTTTGTAAATCGTGAGGTGCTCAGCCTGTGAGGAAACAAGTTCACAGAACATGGAATGACAAGGCAAGTTTATTTTGGTGTAAACAAAACGTGCCATCTGGGTCTGGCACTGTGCAGCGGCAGGTGAAGGACCTCACAATACTGGAATCCCATATGGGATCTCTGCCAGAAGTCCCCGGCTGCCCTGCTCTCAACCCAGCTCCCTGTTAATGTGCCTGAATGATGAAAGCACTGATTGATGACCCAAGTACCTGTGCCCCTTCCACCAGTGTGCAGATCAGAGTGGACTTCCTGCCTCCAGCAGCCTGGCCTGCTGCTGGCTGCTGGAGGCATCAGGGGAAGGAGTGGGCTGGTGTGTGGTGTGGTGTGGTGTGGTGTGTGTGTGTGTGTGTGTGTGTGTGTGTATGTCCGTCCCTCCCTCTCTGTCATCTGTCTTTCAAATAAGTAAATCTTAACATTATCATAAAAATATGCACACATTTCAATTTTTTGTACCAAACTAAATTAAACTTGTGTATTAAATTTTTTTTTAAATTTTCATTTTACTTAAAAGGCAGACAGAAGGATAGAGACAGCACACTGACTTGATAGAGAGCAAGAGAAGGAGAGAAAGAGAGAAAGTGCCTCGATCTGCTGGTTTACTACCTAAATATCTGCAACACCCAGGGCTGGGTTAGCCAATGCCATGAATCCAGCACTTAGTTCATGTCTCCCATATGGGTGGCAGGGAGCAAAGCACTTTAGGTCCACATAAGCCAGAAGTTGGATTGGAAATGGAGTAGCTAGAACTTGAACTATGTACTCCAATATGGGATATTGGCCTCCCAAGCAGTGTCAACTGCTGTGCCAAACATGTGCCCCTAATTTTACCTTTTCACTCCATTTGCTACAAACTTCTGAAAGTCCCCTTGGATGTGCTAGAGGATTCCAATCATTTCTACCCTGGTCTGCCCTTTCCCTGTGCTCATGATTGACGCTGGATCATGCTTCCTTGCACCCAGCTTCTCGCTGCTACAGAGAATACCTCTTCTTACCCATACCATGCCCACCACCCTGGCTGGCGTTGCTGCTTTCCCAATGAATCTAATCCAGACTGCCTTTTGTTCTAGGTCCCTGGGAATGAGAACCTGGCAAGGCCTGGCTAATCTTCCCTTCTTACAGTGTCTGACAGCTGCTCGTGTCCTGAAGCCCATGCCACTAGCTGCGGCGCCCTTACTAGCTGTGGGCATCCAGAACACGTCTCAGTTTCCTGAGTCACTCTAGCAGTTAGCCCAGCACTGCTCTCTCCTTACTGTCTCCTGCCACTGTTTTGGGTGTCACCTGGGTCTGATGTGAGTCTCCTTACATTCTTTTTGCTCTGTTAGAAAACTCCTGTGCCCAAACCCCTTGCCAAAGCTAATCCTTCTCTGCTGGCAGCTCCTGCCATCAACTTCTCTCCTTCCATACTTGGTGCCAGGAGTCAGTAAAAGCTTCCTGTCAGTCTGCAAGTCGCTGGCCATCTGGCAGCCGCCCGATGCCTACCGGTCAGCTCCAGCAGCCAGCTCCTGGGGCTCTCGTTTTTTTTTTTTTTTTTTTCTGTGCAGGTCACTCTGTTACTCTGCACATCTCAGGCACCTCTCACTCTGGGCTTCCACTCCCTAAGCCAGCTCTGTCCATCCTGGCAGCCTTCAGCATCCTCCCCTCTTCCCTCTCTTCCATGGCAACTGCACTCCCAATTGATGCATATAGGATAATTTTCTCTAAGGGTTTATATCTCAGTACCACCTCTGTCTTTTTTTTCTCTATCTTTGCTATCTTAACTGGGATACAGAGATAGCGTCAGAGAATTAACACATCTACAAGAGGAAATCTTTGACCCTCTATGAAACCTGCTCCCTGTCGAGACGCGGTCATGTTTCTATTAACATTACTACCACTGTGCCAGTCATATCTGCGCTCAGCTCCTGAGTCACCCCTGATCCACACATTTACCCTCCTCCACCACCCTCCCGCCATGTCAGTAGCTATGGCCACGTTTTGGGCAGCGCACTTGCCCCTGCCCATCATACCACCAATCACCATAATCCAGGCCATCATTTCCACAGCCTTTCTGGACAGGTCTCTGTGCTTCTAGTCCGGCTACATTTCCTACCATTGCCTTTGTCCCTTAAACTCTCTCAACTCCCCTTTAATCCATTCTCTTGCTAAATAAATCCTCATGAAGCCATCAAACACAGCTTTGATCTTGTCATCCCCCTGCCCGCAGCACTCCCCTTTCTACCTAAGACAGGTCAGACTTCATCAACGGGTATTAAGGAATCTGGTCCAACCCACATCTCAACCTTATTCCTAACCATATACTAACCCAACAGAACCCAATGCACCATGACAAATTCCATTAGTGCACAAGGTACAAAATACAACATGAACAGGCCAAACACTCCTTTTGCCCCCAAAACTAAGTGCTGTGGTTTACTTATGTTCTCCCAAATGCCATCCAGGGCCTCACGTCCAATCCATTCCTTGCATAAAGACCTCCAGGACTGAAGTGCATACTGTATGCCTCCCGGGTTCCTGGAACTGAATGTGTCCTTTCCTTCTCTGGGCCACTGTGACACCCCTTCCCTTTATCATAGATCATCATTTTCCGGAATTCATGAAACTTGCCTTTGAACTTGTCATAGTCCCTCTGCGGGTGGAGACTATGCTTCATTCTCTTTTGTGTTTCCTGGACTGTCCAATCCTGCTGCATACATAACAGACCATAAATGATCCTGATTCAATGGATGGACTGGGTGTGTTCTTTCATATGCCCAAAGTTTTCTGCTCCCAATAACTTAGTTATTTAAAGGCCAAAGTGTTCCTCCTACCTTTTGGCAGGAGGTGGAAATAAGCTATTCCACAGCAGAGTGTGCATGTCAATTTACCTGTGCTTAGTAGCAGCAAGACTTTCATTATGGTGTACTCTTCAAAGGTAAGTTGCAGTCGAACAAACTGAAGGCTGATCTGGTGCATGCCCTGGCACAGCTCATACATGGCTGACTGATGCATCTTCTCTCTGCAAAGGCAAGGAAACATGGGTCTGAGACTGCAAGGGGCACTTTCCAACCCAGCCTGAGGCAGGCAATCAGGGTATCTGAGTTCTGATCTTAGGTGCAACATGAAGCAGAATGATCAGGTACGTTCCACAGTGGCTGGTCCATTGTTTCTTGAATAACCTGCTGTGCCACTACTGGTGCCTTCTGAGAATATAGCAGAAGCACCAAAATTCATCCTTTTCACTGTGTCCCATGATTTCCTTTTATGTGTAGGGGAACAGTAAGTGATTGTGCTGTGTGTTCTGGTGGCGTCACTCATAAAACAGAGCAGCCCTTAGAGTCTTCTTCCTTTTTGGCTACAGGTTTTGGTCACCGTTTTGGAAGGACTAGGCTAGATGCTACACACCGAAGATGGTGATGACCAATCATTTCTACACAGACCATCCTTCTAGAGTTTCTGGAACATGTTTGTTAACCATTTGGAGTAATGTGTTTGAAATGCAAAACTCAACGTTACTTCCAAAGGTAAGATTCCCACATGGAATCACCCTGTTTGAGGGATAGATCAGCAGGGGAATTTAGCACCACACGTACAGGTGTCTCCACACATACAATCAACCAATCTCCAACCCTCACAATGCAAATATTTCCATAAGAAGTCACATTAGAGAACAACAAATGTCATCCTTGTCTCTTTCCTTGAGAAGAAATCAAGACGTTGTTATCTGTTACATGTCTCTTCTCAAAGGAGTATACCTTTGGAAGGCCCTGGAGAGCTACTCTTACTGATGACAAGTGAAAAATGGGAGAGTTACTAAAAATTTAGAGAAGTCTGGATGGTTAGACCAAAGAAATAGAAAAAGCAGCTCTAAATGCCACTGATCAGGAATGTGGAAGGAAGCAGGGCACATTTCCCCCTGCATTACAAGAATTTTTTCTCCATCTTATTTTTAATTTATGAAGTAATTTAAACACACACACACAGAGCAAGAGAGAACCAGAAAGAGAGAATGAACAACAGTAGTAGCCCTTGGGCCTACCACACAGGACTAACCATGTAAAAATGCTTATATGCTTGGCACCTTTACTCCAGAGTTTTAAGCATTCATCTCAGTAGAAATGAGGGCTGCCCAGTCTCCCTGCCTGATCCTGCTCACCCTTCTTCATTTCAGCTTGGGCAACTATCATTTCCATTGAGACAGATAGGTCCTCATATGTCCATAAGAACAGCACACAGTATTGCTTTAAATGGATCTGAAACTGGATATACAGGTCCTTTTGCAACTTAGTTTTATTCAGTCTGCAATTCTGAGCTGTATCCACCACGATAGAGACAATTCTAAGTTAATTTTAACCACTACAAGCTTCACTTCTTCAAAGTTCTCGCAATTGACTTCTCTGTTCCACTACCTGGGTTGTTTCCTCTTTATTTCCAGGACAGATGAGGTCACAGGGAACTACCTGTGCACGTGCCCAGGATAGAGGATGAGTTCAGAGCATGCCACAGCCATCCTTCCCACCAACAGGCCAGGAGAGAGGACGCTGGGCTTCACATACCCCCAGGCTTGCCATTATCCAATCCATTTTTTTTCCCTCCGAAAGGGTAACCCATGGATATTTTCATTTCCAATTTGTCTGAAAATGTATTTATATCACTTTCACTCCTGGATTAAGAAATATTGGTTTTCAGTTTGACAGATAATTTTCTTCAATTCAATCAAGGTGTGTGTGTGTGTGTGTGTGTGTGAGAGAGAGAGAGAGAGAGAGAGAGAGAGAATGATTGCGTGTGTGTGTGACTATAGCTGATTTGTAAGGATTGCTTTCAGAGAATTTCCTGTTAGACTATCATTTTCCCATAAGAACCCAGTGTTTCTCCCACGGCAGCTTCAATTCTGTTCCTTGATGTTTACATTTTTATTGTAATATACCTAGCATGGACTGAGTTTTACTAGGAATCCGTATCTTTATTCAGTTGAAGATGCAAATTTTTTCTCAATTATGAAATTCCCTTAGTCAGTGTTCATCAATGATATTAATCCCTATGATTTTTTTCCTTTTTGAATTCCTATTAATTGTATATTGGACCTTCTTGTATTTTTATATTAATCTCTCATATTTTATTTTAAACTATAATTTATTTGGAAGGCAAAGAGATGGAGAAAGATATTAGAAATGTGATAAAATGCGGACAACGTCCAGGGATGGGCCAGGCTGAAGCCAAGCACCCAGAATTCCATCTGGGACCCCCATGTTGCAAGGACTCCAAGACATGAGCTATCACGTGCTGGCGTCCCTCCAACGCAGGCACTCTGATAACGTGTGTGTTCCACAGTCTCCTCGCTGCTGAGTCAAAATTCTTCCACATTCTCCAGCTCCTTACTCTGTGTACTGCACTTTAGGTGATTTTCTCAGATCTAATTTCTAATGAAATACTTAAAAAAAATTTCATCCGTGTTTAATCTACTCTTCTTCAAGGTCTACAATGTTTAAATTCCAATGGTACTGTTTTGGTTGCTTAGGGTCAAGGAATACTCTATTTGGTTCTTTTTAGATAGTTTTATTATTTTCTACAATGTATCTATTTATATATGGTCATTATATTCCCTTTCCATTGCTAGGAGTTTTAAACACATCAGCTTTATACTTTTAGGTCATTTAACTCACTGTTTTCCAGTGTTAATATGAATGTCTTAACACGTATTGTTTTGGACTGGGTGAATCCTATGAGTGAAAACTTGTACAAGGAACTTTGCAAGAAGTTTTAGCACTTACCACTGTCATGGGTAAATGCTTTTCACTTGCTAATTCCTTAAATGCTTTTTTGTGAGACTCAGCAGTTTAAATTTAGACTCCACACTTGATGTGGTTTTGGTTTGTGTTTCTTCTTTCGTTCAACCTCCCTGGCATGTTTCTGGGCTAGCTGCTTGGTTAGGGTTCACTGTTGGTGTTAGCAGACAGTGAGACCTTTGCAGAGCCCTGGCTTTTTGCAGGCGGCTCTGTTTCAGGCTTAGCTTTGCTGAACTGTAAGTTCCGGTTCCCATTTCCTGTTTGTGTCCTGATGCCATCCCTAGAGCATGAGGCTGCATTCAGCAGCCTGTAGACCCACTGCAGGTTCTAACTCTGAGTTGAACCACTCTAGCCACAAATCCTTTGTTTTCATCTTTTGAGCTTGTCTGCAAATTTCAACCTTTTTTAAAGGCAGAATTTCTGTGAGTTTAGAATCAATCCAGGCCCACCAGTCAGATTACAAACTGCACACTCCATAAAGGCACGGTCCTTGTCCAACCAGCCTTTCTGCATGTCGAAGAGAATAGGACACAAATGTTATCAATAAAGATTTCATCAGTGAGTGAAAAAGGGCTGGGAAAAAAGGAAAAACAAGTAATGATTATGACATGGTTGAAGACATACAGATCTGCACATAATAATGATGATTAGGAAAGATATTCAAAATGACCATCTAATGAGTCCTAAAAATGTGCTTAACGAAGAAGAAAGACTTAGATGGTAAACTAGGGTGAGGTAGTTGAATAGTCAGGATGTCATGGTGTGCCACACAACATATTTGACACTGTGCAGCTTTGAATGTGTGGTCACATGCATTAGGTCAGCGGTGCTGCAGAGAACAGATCACTTGGCTTTGCTCCAGCAGGGCCCAGGATGCTCCCCTGGGTCGTCAGTGTGCTGGCTCCTCAATCCTGTAATCCTATAATTTCTGGGGTTTGGGATTGTCCTATGTAACAGTGGAATTAGGTAAACCTCCAAGCTTGCAGGGAGGCAGGAGCCCACTATGAGGAAGTTCTTAAGTTACACAGTGCTTTCTGAGTGTTAGCCTTCCTCTCTGCTTGCCTTCCTTTCTGTTTGGACGTAATAGAAGCAAATGCTTTTGGAGAGACCAGTGATATTTTGGATTGAAATAAGCCAGGAAAGGATCAAATTCCTAAAATTACTTTTTTTTTTTTTAAAAAAAGTACTGCTCTATTTATACTGTTGTATTAGTTCTACGTATTGGGATCAGGATGGTCCACCAAGGAAAAGCAGAAGGGATGCAGATGTCAGAAGGTCAAAGTGATTTGCCTGCAGCTGAACTTGACCACCTTGCTGCTGAGGTGTTTCTGTTATTACATGTGTTAAAGGTGGGTTCAAGAGACCCCTGAGGTTCCACGTGCAAAGAGATTAGAATGCTAATGTGTGACAGCACATCTAGAGAAAGCATTGGTGCACATGTGCATGAATGGCACCACCTTAGCCCTGTCTGGAGCTATGGTCTGAGCCACCTACCGCCTATCTCCATTCAGTCTGTCATTCATAGATCCCTCACCAGGCCACAAGGCTATACTTCTTTCCACTATCCCCAAGTCGTCCTCTTGTTCACAAGGAAGTGCTTCAGGTACATGGGGAAGCTAGGATCCATACCTAGGCTATTTTGACTTCAAATTCCAGGCCTTCCCTTGTTTCCAAGCTGCCGGCCCAGGTTACAGGTTTTAGCTTTGTTCTCCAGGTCTAGAAGTATAAAGAGAGAATCCTCCTCATAGGCTTTGTTATGATATTCTCTCATCTGTTTACCTTCTGCTCCCCACAGGATGGGAAGCGTCTGTGTCTTCAAATTCCATTACTTTTTCCACTGCATGAGATTGGAGTTCTTTAAAGAAGAATGTGTATTCAATATAGCTTGAAATGTCAAGAAAATAGGCCATCTTGAAAACACATTTTACAGCACATCATTTTCCTACAATTAGATTAAATGTAGGGAAATGTACGTCCAAAAGAATTTTGGGACAAGGACAATCTGTTTGGCACAATCCCAGTATTAATTTTGCACCATTACTTCACAGATACTTCAGCTCTTTGCTATATTGCTTTTGTTCATTTTGTAACCTTAACCTCATTTTGAACACGATAATATAAAACTGTACCGACTACCTTGGGAAAGAAGAACGAGTTTATCCAATGCTTCTAAAACACAAAGGTAAACACACGCTCCAAGGTTCTCCGGCGACTGACGCTGATGATCCCCACT